GATATTTAGCCGAGTCATATAACTGACATCAAGCGTAGTGAATTTAACAGCTAACTGCATTTAATTTAGTACGAATACGTACGTAGCGAGAGACAGTACCTCAGAGTTAATTGAAAATTGCTGTCAAGAGCCCCACCTGATGAGAAATGCGCATCTCTCCGGTAGCTCGGTACTTAGCGAGAACGCAATTCGAGTTTCGAATTGTATTTCGTGTACGATTAACTGGAGTATGCACCTCGTATTTACTGCCTAGATTACTTTTGAATCTCCTGTTTGGAATTGAAGGGAATTAGCCTTTGTTTCGTTTGAGTGTGCTAATTCGATTTGTTACTTCGTATAGATCTGTCTTGTTCGAGTCCGGCGCCAAAATGAAGTGCTCGTGACGTTATTGCCTGAGCTCCAATAAAAGTACAAGTACGAGTGGAAAGTTGAGAGCGTGTGGAGTGTGCAGCGAGGAGCGGCTATTGCGGCGAGCGAAGACGGCGGCGGCTGCGCGGCGCCGCAGGTGGCTGCCCCTGACAGGTCAATTTCCAATTACCGCGCAGCTCGCCACATCACTGCGAATGCCTAAATTAAATTTTATTCATTGCAAAAAAGACTGATTTGTTTAGCTCGATGAATTGCTTAGATAAGGCGGAAAAATTGATTTCGCTTTGGGCGGAAACGAAATGTGGCGCATGAGTAATGAATGTACTGAATGAATAACTCTTGCATGTTGTATTATGTTTGTGTGTATTGGGAAAGTGGATTTGGGCCGATTATAACATTGGGATATGTCTCCATTTGGCGTCTGAACGAAATTGTAGAAAAAATAGAACATTCTTTCATTGCAGCCTGGATTTCGTCAACAGCTCATTTCGTAACCATTGGTAAGCATCACAATAAACAACGAGCAATAAAAATAGTGCCAGTGTAGATCCAATCGAAGCCAGCCAGCGTGGCGCTATAAAGCTCCTCAGGCCCACGCCGCCTCCGCCTCGCCGCCGTCGCCGTCGCCGGGTAAATATTTACATACACTGGCAGCACTACAGCCAACATTTATACTCTGTAACGCACGCATTATATTGGGCTCCAAGGAAATTGATATATCAAACGATGCGTTACCCCAGTTGTCTTAGCCAAACATTGTTGGGGATGCAAAAGCAAACATAATTCGGTAAACGCTGGGAGCAACACAGGCACCGGCGCCGGCACCGGGCTGTACTTGGAGTTTGATTTTACTCGTGCCTACATACAGTTTATGGTTATTGCTGGGGGAAACAAACAGTCAATCAGTTTATATATATATTCCGAATGGACTATGTGAGTTTGAGGGATGAGTAAACATTGTATGTTTGACGGAATAATAACCGAAGATACTATCGATAGTAATTTGACTTATAAACATAACAACGATGTTAAAGATGTCTTTACAAAATTAAACTTGAACTTTAGAATAATTGCAGTCGTGAAACAGATATTTTAGATAATATATCGAGCAGTAAAAGCCGGAATGATACATTTGAAGCGCGGAGGGCCCATTGACGAGGGCAATAAACGGAAACCAATTCAGACGCTCGATAACTTTGTTGACATAAAACAACAGTTTATAAAAAGAAGTCACGCAGGATTTCAGAATGTAACCGTTGCCGCCATATTGATTTATAGCGCGTGTAAATTTAGCTTGGACCCATTAAAAGTAAATCAAAGTGGGTAGTAAATCGTCAAAGCACACGAGAGCAACTATTAGGTGGTGAGCTCTGGCCAAACTTTTCTGATCTCTCGTTCTGTCTAATTCGCAAAACACTGCCGGAGGCTGGCGGGTCCAGGATGGCTGGTGTTTTGTCTCAAATAAAACTCGGCGCGGTTTCACACAGACCGCTTTTGTGCAGTCAACGTTTAGTTTACTGTATGCAATCGCGATACAGTTTAAATCCGACGATTTATATTTATTAAAACTTCATTTTAACAGCGCTTTTAGGTAGAAACTATCTAAACCGAGCATTGTGCAATGCAGCTATCGAAGCTTGGACCTATTTCGCCTCTTGCGAGAGTACTAATGAACGACGCAATTTCCCAGGAATAATATTGATGTTAGTGTGAAAGTCCAACTTTGCACGTTTCTGCGAAACAATGATAGAGGAAACAGGAGAATGTTTACACTAACATCGCGGTAATTGTGATACGACGCGCAGTTAATACTGCGCACAAATCGTGATTTTTGCACCAAAGCTATGAATCCCTTACCAAGGTTCGTATTTATAAATGCAGCTTAAGTCGAGCGATTTTAAAATTTTACTTAGGATATTTATAATAACAAGTGTCTTTGTTATTGAATTCTTAAGTATTTTTTCGAATCTAAAACTCGTTTATTCATTTTTTAAACTAACCACCGTTTTGGGTTCTTTACAGATCCCATGGTTACGGACGACTGAGATGGAGATGAGACTATCAGCATGAACAGCATTGAAATTCTGTTAATTGTTTTGAATAGCATACATGCTTGTGTTGCATATCGTAAGCAACGAAAATATATCGGTAACATGAACGACAGGTATATCGACTAGCACAACACTATTTGAAAACGTCAAAACAAAATCACCTAATTCTGAACGGCTAAAAAACAATCTGAGTTGTAATGAGGAATTCGGATGCACGCGTATAAAATAATTAAAAGTTACTTGGCCTGATACCCAAAAGCGTTACAGTTTATTGTTGTAAGTTCCTTAACATTCCATATATATATTTATCCACACAGCACATAAGTAGTCAAACACTACAAGTGCAGTTAGACTACCGCCAACCAATATCGCAATGTGCGCGAAAATACTACATTTGAACATTTTAGGTTGCATTTAGAGAATAATTTAATATATAACCTCAAATATGTTACAATATCAGAACCATTCGTGTTTAAATAGTACGGCTCCAGGTACCTAATAAAACAATCCATTGTCTGGATAAATGTTTTGGTTGGTTTTTGCGTCTTAGCCAACTTACAAGTAACAATTGGTTTTGTTACTTTCACTCAGTGTTTTTCAAACTGTGATATGTGACCTCCTGGGTTCCCTAGGTGGTGGTCTTTGGAATTAATTGCAAATAGGGTCGCGAATATTTCAGTGTTGGGTAGGTGAGGTACCAAGGGGGACCCAAAGGGCGGTATTTAGGATGTTTAACAACAAATTGTCAGTGGAGAATGAATGCTTCCCAATTAAGAGGTCGACGGCTGGAGTCCTTGCGGTGGCATGTACCTACCTACGACTTTAATTTCCTCTCATACGACTTACGACATACTACGACTTTAATTTAAATTAAATGAGAGGAAATTGAAGTATCAATTATAATAATATAATAACGCACACACTCAACATAGCCCCGCACTAGGGAAACCCTGTGTCGCGGGTGCAGTTTGAAAATCGCTATTGAAGATGTTGTTATGTATTTACAATATAATATACAGGAAAGGTCAGTTTTTCTAAACTGCGATGATTCACTATTATTCAAAGAGACATTTATAAGGTACACCAGCTCCAAGATTGTATTTGATTTAACAAACAATGCGTAATTGTTAGATTATCGTTTCTGTTTCTTTTTATAATAAGTGGTCAATACATAACATAAAAGTTCTTAATGATATTTATATAATAATAGTATTTACATAAAATAGTAAATATAAAGACATTTTGTTGTGGTCAAGACCAGTTTTCACTCTGTTCTAAAAATTGTAACACATGACGAGCATTTTTTCTATTTAATAAAAAACTATATTTTTACATATCGAATTCTTAGATTTTCGCGATTGTACACATAGGAAATGACACTATTTTTCCCGATTTAAATCGCGTATATTTGTTTTTTCAAACAAACCAACGTTTCGGGCCCTTTACAGGTCCCATGGTCACGGTTGAATAGATCGAAACGTCGGTTTGTTATATGTATACGCGATTTAAATCCGGAAAAATAGTCACCGCATCGCGTTTGTATCGCTGCTAAAAGTGACCATGTGTAACCGCTCTTAATGAAACTACTTGCTTGACTGTCAGCCGTTACAATAATACCATTTTTAATAAAAAAAATAAACCATCTTCAAAAGATTGTGCTATCATAGATCTATTTGCCAAGTTTTCTTGAAAACGATTAACGGAAAGTGGTTGAAATCCAATAAACCGGATTCAGCCCCTAGTTTGCCATCCTTAGACGTGGAATCGTTTCTTCAAATTTAAATGGGACCAATCATGAGGTACCCTCTTTCCAACAAAAAAGAATCATCAAAATCGGTTCACAAATGCGTAACATAGCATCAAATAAAAAAATCCTCCTCTTTGAAAGTCGGTCAAAAAATTTACTCCATTTAGATCAGAAAAATACTCTCGTTTTCGATATCTAGTAATCGCAAAAACCTAAAAACTCTACACTCGAGCTAATAAAGATTTATGTCGTGTTTAAATGTGTTGGTTTAATAAAACACCATATTTGCGCCTTTTGTTCTGAAAAGGTGCGGTGATAGCGTAGTAAGTAAGACAACGGTTTCTTTTTAATTGAGAGGACGACGGTTCGAATCCCTGCAGCGACATGCACCTATGGTTTTAATATACTAAATTACGATAATAATAATAACCAGACTACTCTACTAAAATAGCTGGTCTCAATCTAGGAAATTCTCTAAATACAAGTCATTTCCAAATTGGTTCTAAGTCCAGGGAACTACTGCCACCTTACCTATTTCTGCCGCCAAGCAGTAATGGGAACATTACTGTGTTTCGGTTATAAACGTTAATGGTGCTGTTGAAATTACAGGCACACGGTACTTTCAGTGGCACTGCAACTGTTATAGACAGGCGTGTCGCTTACAACCAGGCGCACGACTTACTCGGCCCGTTACTTAGTATCAAAAAAATAAAATTTTATAAAAACTCAAATACGAGGCGTGTCCGTAAAATAAGTTCCACGAATTTTTTTCACATCAAAAAACTGGTTTATTTGCAAAGAATAGTACATTTTTGGAAAGTTCAGGCTTTCTTTTATTTTTCTACATAATCGCCGTTGCGTTGTATGCATTTCTGCATTCGAGGCACCCACTTTTTCAAACCAGAGTCATAGAACTCTGCCGCCTGTCCGTGTAGAAAACTAACAACCGCGTTTTGCACCTCCTCATCTGTCTGGAATTGGGTTCCGCCAAGGTTTTTCTTCAACTCGGGGAAGAGATGGAAGTCACTTGGTGCTAAGTCTGGGCTGTAGGGTGGGTGAGACACCATTTCCCATCCAAATCTTTCGATGAGGGCTGTGGTTCGATTGGCGGTGTGCGGTCGGGCGTTGTCATGGTGAAAACGCACTCCTTTTGTCAGTATTCCTCTTCTCTTGTTCTGAATTGCACGTCTAAGCTTATTTAAGGTCTCACAGTACCGGTCAGCATTGATTGTTGTCCCGCGAGGCATAAACTCGCACAACAATACGCCCTTTCGATCCCAAAAAACGGTAGCCATGATTTTCCCGGCAGACAGGATTTGTTTGAACTTCTTTGCTCTTGGCGACGAAGGGTGCTTCCACTGCTTTGATTGCTCCTTTGTTTCCGGTGTGGTGTAGTGTACCCAGGTCTCGTCACCAGTAACAATAAGGTCCAGAAATTCCTCTTCGGTTGTTCCGTGAAAAGCAAGAAATTCTTGGGCCGCTTCAACTCGCTGTCGCTTGTGGTCTGCAGTGAGCATTTTTGGTACCCATCTTGCGCAGACCTTTGAATAGCCTAAATGTTCAGTCAAAATCTTGTCAATTGTGGTTTTGCTGACCTCCGGAATCTTTTCGCACAGTTCCCGAACTGTAGTCCGTCGATCTTCAAGCATTGCCGCTTCGACTTTGGCAATTGTTTCGTCGGAAACCGATGGCCGCCCTGCACGGGCTTCGTCGTGGACGTCTGTTCGGCCATTTTTAAAGTCCCTGACCCATCTGCGCACCATCCCAGAGCTCATACACTCTTCTCCATACACTTGACAAAGTTCTTCGTGAATTTCCTTCGCTGATTTCTGCTGATTTCTGAGGCTAGCAAGGTGAGGGATTGGAGTGGGGGAACCAAACAACCTGCCTCTGTTGCCTGGTCGCGCATACAAACGATCCTAGCGCCAGTGGTAGCCCGTGGAACTAATTTTACGGACACGCCTCGTATTAACATCTCGCTGATGGTGAAGAAAGAATGCCGTGGTAGCCTAAGGGTTTGTCCTACTGCCTCTCAAGCAGAAGCCGCGGGTTCGAATCCGCGTTTGCGCTTCTGAGTTTTGGGAATTGACGTAGAAAAAATATAAATTTTACTATGTTTAAGATTCATTGCCCTTGGAAAAAGAGTGAGGTCACCAACCCGCATCGGGCCAGCGTGGCGTAAACCCTCACTTGAAAGGAGACCTGTGCCCAGCATTGGGACGTTTAAATGGATTGATGATGATGATGGTGGTGGTAAAGAAAAACATTTTGATGAAATCTGCATTTCAAAATACGCAAATATAACGCTATGATGATTTATAATTATGTTTCAACTTCCAAACAATTTTTGTTTAAATTCTATAGGTAGTAAGAACATCTGCAAAGTTAATTAATACACGTTCACTTAAAAAGTAAAATTATGTCGATGGCCTTCATTAATAAGTAATAGAAGCTTCTACGTGTCTCTAACTAAAAAACTCACACAATTTAAACAAGTTGTTTGCTAATTAATTTCCGTCTTGTATATTTTTCTTCCTTCACAATACAACATTTAATCTCCACCTCCATTATTTCCGCGTCGGTCAGCAATACGCTACTGCTGACTGCCAGCCACGACGCTTACTTTGAGAAAAATCTTTCCTCAAGTCGGAGAAACAAAGAAAGTTGGCGAATTCGATTTGCTTGTAGTTTTTGCTTCCACCAACTCGTTAGTTTTTTTTTATGTAGTTGCTGAAGTCTGTGTTAGATTAGGTTTATACTCGCATCATACGTCTTCCTCCATTTTTGATGCTATATCGGAGAGCACTTTTCGAGTAAATGTTGAGTTACGCCATCAAAGCGTTTTTGAAAATTCCTGTTACATATTGATGGCTTTCTAGGATAGCAGCCTACCGTCAAATCACCTCGACCGGGTCAATGTAGAAAATCTAAATTTCTTCTGAGTTGAGTTGAGTTGAGTTCTAATTTTTTCTGAGTGTTCGATCTTTGTATTAATAATTATAACAAACTAGTGGAGTAATTTCACAAAAAATAATTGAATGTCAATTCAATAAAAATTTAATTAATACAGTGAATAGCGACATCTCTCGCCAGGACTGGTAGCTGTAAAGGTACTAACTGGGTGATAAATCTGTCAAAGATTTCTCATAGATGGCGCTACGACTAAAAAGTCGGTGAAAGACCAAGTACAAAGACACGACGCAAGCACATAGAAAAATTCGTGAGGTCCGTTGGTTCGTTCCGTGGCTTAGTTGGTATAGCGTCTGCCACGGTATGCAAGAAGACGTCGGTTCGAATCCGACCGGATCGAAGGAATTTTTTCTGAGTGTTTTTTCTGAGTGTTCGATCTTTGTATTAATAATTGTAGAAAATCTAATTTTTCCGTATAGTCTCGGTTCCGGGTGTTTGTGATTCGTTGTTTCCAATTTCCAAAGCACAATTACTTACTTTGGGATCAAAGCAACGTACGTGATGTTGTCTAATATTTATTGTCATTACCTAATCCATCAGGAAGATGGTTTACAAAAAAACTTCTTATTGGTTCTTATTCGTCCCGTCACCTGGATTAAAGAAAGAGCTCGCCCAGAAGATTGAGTCGCACCTCAAAGACTGTATCCGAAACACAGTCCCAGGCAAGATACTCCATTTTTGGGCTGTGCGCATAATAAAGGATAAGACGATAAGCGCTTAGTACACCTCAACGTATGTATGGTATCTCGCCGTACATTTTGCTTCCCGAATGTTTACGATTGAGACCTATGGCCTAAAACATCTTCTGAGAATTGCACTACAGCAACCTTTACCTAACTCCAATTTTCCAGATAGATAATAAACTCGTGTAAGTGCCGACAATCAGATACAAGAAATACATCTGCGGTTCTCCTCGATTACGTCGCAATCACTCGGGCAGCTCGGGCGAAGGAACAATGTTTTTATTCAATATCTCAAATTGATCACGTCACACATAATTTGTTCCAACAAAAATATTGTTATCCGAGACTATCTTTTGTTGAGGAGACGATGATATCACCAAGGACTTAGATAAAACCTTTCCAAATATGTTCGTAAATAATGAGATCTTATTTGAGCTCACAAGTTACTCTTGGACCTTGAATTAGTAGAATCAATGTTGACGTTTGATGTCAATGAGCCTGTTGCCAGTACCAATAATTACATCTTTGAAATTCCGAAACGTGACCCAGGGTTAAAAAGGAAGGAGTTGGATTAGGTATTAGTTCACGACACTGACTCAATGCGGGATGGGGACTTCACACCGTCTTCCATAATTATGCAAGTTTCTTCACAATGCGCGTATGAAACTAATACCAATCAAACTATTAACATATGTTCTAAATTACGACAGTAAATAAAATATGGCGGAATTGAGACAATTTAAAAGTTCTAGAAATTACTGAATTGTGAATTACGGAATTATTTTTATTTAGTTATCCACTTTTAGGCAATAACTGAAATTTATTAGTCCCATCCAGTTTGAGAGGTATTACTACGTATTCACAAATACAAGTAAATTAAAAATTAAAGTCATAAGCACAGGCATTCCCTAGTGTCGTCTTTCGTGACGTGAGAGTTTAGCTTTGTGAGTATAGATGAGGAGGACACGTGTTCGATTCCCGGAGAAAAGTGTGATTATGGAAATGACGACTGATAGGGGGAGAGTGGAAGAAAAACACATGTTGTGCCGACCCCACCTAGCATGGCATAGTAACAGGAAGAAGAAGAAAAAGAAGATAGTAAATTAATTTAGTTGTTCAGGTACTAGTAGTACAGGGATTTTTGTTGGAGACCAAGTAATTGATATAATTGTCTGGTACATTACTATTAAATGTCATGATTCCACCACCAGACAACTAGAAATAGATTGTACACGACAATATGAGCCTTTAGCCAATGATACTCGGAAGACTCCAACTAACATGGATACTGTGTACGTGAAACCGGGAGTCTTGGAAAATCATTAGTAGGAGAGCCTACCTCAAACAACAGAATTAAATAATTATAAAATTAACATTCTTAGACTAGCATCTTAGTACATTTTCAAAAATGTAATTTATATAATGAACAACAATAAATTCTTCATAAAAATTGTGATAGACGTAACATTTATGCGAGGAATAAAAATAAACTTGCTGTTTTTGACAGACGTCTTCACAAAGTCATAAATTCATTTAAAGAGCATGTTTACACTTTTAGAACAAGATTCCGGTTGATATTCAAAATTTGCCATTTACGAGGTTTAAATCTATAGTGACATAAAAACTTTATACTAAAGGTCATTACACTTCTGCGTACTTGTATGACAATATTCAATGCTAGTTACCCGTTCAGCTCTTGCCGCTTGTTTCGAATTATGATATTTAAATAGTAAATCATAAATGTTAACAAATGGTAATTTACAAAGAGCGACCCTTAGAGTTTCTTGCTCATTCTTCTCACGGGAATCTGCTTTACGAATGAATAGAGTTTAATGAATGCAATGATATTATCTTATAATTTGCTTATCACATTTTTACAAGAGAGTGATAGAATGCTTGCTGGTTATGGACTTCAGTGTTTTCTTTATGATTACCAAGTGACAGGGATTACTGCCACCTTACCTATTTCTGCCGCGAAGCAGTAATGTGAGTAGTGAAATTACAGGCACATGGGACCTCTCAACTTATGTCTAAGGGGATGGGCGCAGTCGTAATGCCCTCAGATCTTTACGATTTAAAGATCTGAGTGGCACTGCAACTGTTATGGACATTTGTGTCACTTACTACCAGGCGCATGACTTGTTCGTCCCGTCACTTGATGTCATAATAATAAAGGCTACCCATAACAGTTCTAGTACCACTCAGAGCTTTAAGTCGCAAGGACCTGAGGGGCACAGCATTTGCATCTGTCACTCTGAGCATATAGTTGAAAAAGCCCATGTACCTGTGGTTTCACCAGCATCCTTGCCCTTGTAAGCTGGAACGTAGAACACATTACCAGTTGGCGGCAGAAATAGGTAAGGTGGCAGTACTTCCCTGGACGAAATCCTTCATGAGGAGCTCTACTGCTACTTGTATTGTGGTGTAAGGATTTGACAATCGGCGTAAGGTACTCGTCGATTATTGCCCAGATTGCACCAGGTGTTAGGGAAGAAGAATGATTCGTCTTGCGGAGAGGCTCTTTTCGTGCACCCAAATAGACTTACAGAACAAGTAGAAAAAAATAAAAATTATTTTTTTAATCAATAATTTTCAGGCAAGTTTCTTGTACTCAATTTTGGTGCCAGTTTTTATTATTTAATTCCTATAATATTTCCTCGTGAAATAATATTTCAGTTTACCACACTCGGATATTAAATAATACTTCATGATGATATTCTATAAATATTTTAATAAAAAGAAAATATCACCAAAATTGAGTACAAGAAACTTACCTGAAATTTAAGTCCAGGATTTGCGGTGTATTACTGCATTTTATTAGAGATGTTTTTGTTGGTAGTACGGAGGGTGTTTATTTAGCAATGCAGAATAATAATTTTTATTTATAAAAACTTGTATTTAAACTGAATGCTTTTCTAATTTGCGAAACCAAATAGCCGCCATTTTGCGGTAGGAGGAGCGCATCGCGTGAGCGGTTATATAACGAAATAACACTTGGAAACTTTGTCCAATTGTTGTTGAGATTATTGTTTAAAATGTGAAATAAGTAATACCTTCCACGACGAACTCTTTCACAAGGATCAACCAGAATAAAGTGACATTTTTTTTAC